AATAATAATAATAATTTAATTTTTTTTTACTTTTCAAAAAGAAAAGCGAACTGGGGGAGGGGTGGGCATGGAGGACATTGTGCAACACTGGAAATCCAAAGTTTCTGTAAACTTTCATTAAAATAAATTTAAAAAAATAGATGTGAACCAGAAAATAAAAAAGAAATTATGAAGCCCTGGGAGGAAGTGCTGGAGCAAACAGAACCCCCTTCCCTGAACTCAACCACCTCCCAAGCCAGAGTCCACTGCTGTCACTCTGAGCCCCTGCATCCTCCCTGTGACCTTTACCTGCTGAGCTCTACTGGCATCTACTGTCAAGGCCTCTAGACTGACAGGCTTCTCGAGGTCCTGATGCTTCTCCAGATGCAGCATCACAGGCCCTGGATGACAATCCTCTTCTGCTAGCATTCCTTGCTGCCAACTGCTGGCACTCTCTCGCTGGATTTTCTGCTGGTGAACCAGAGACCTCAGCAGAGGGAACATGCTGTATCTGCTGCTGCTTTGTGGAAAAGCAGGTACTTTTTTGGTTCCTGGTCCCATCCTCCAGAATGAGTCAGTCCTATCACTGGTTGAAACACTGTGTGCATCCTCAGAAGAGAAATACCCTAAATAGCATGTTGTTGTTATGTGCTGTCGAGTCGCCTGCGACTCATAGCGACCATATTACAACAGCCCTAAACTCTGGCCTATCCTGTGCCAATCTCACCATCTCTGACACACCTGCTCCCATTATTACCCCAGGCACTGAATCAATCCATCTCATCGAGGGTCTTTCTCTCCTGCATTGTCCTTCCACCCTTCCTTCCAAGCATGACATCCCTCTCCAAGTACTGGTCATATATTTTGTGTGTGTGTGTGTGTGTGTGTGTGTGTGTGTGTGTGTGTGTGTGTGTACCGTCAAATCGGCTCTAACTGGTACAGGAGGAGATTGGCCCTCCTTCTCCAGCAGAGCATTTAGTGAATTGCGTACCTCTGGAATAGCAGTGAAGCTTCTTGCCACTAGGCCACCAGAGCTCCCTAATAGGATATATTTTTGTGATTCTCTATTGTGCTGTCCTTTGTCAAGTCAAAAACATTAGCAAGAACCTAATAAAGGAATATATGTTCACCTGTTAAAAAAAAAAGTATAGCAAAAAAAAAAAATGCTCCTGAACTCAATTCAATTCTGTAAAACAAAAATCGTGATGAAATGTTATCTACTCATTGGTAAGGGATTTGGTATTATTTATTCAATCCTTCTTTCTACAGATAGAGTTGAGTGTTTCCTATGTGCCAGTCAAGAAAGGTGCTGCTGATAAAAATTAATCAAGTGACCATAACTCTTTCCCTAAGTCAAAGTGTCTTCATGCTCTGTGATCTTTTCCCATGTACCTTCCTTCCTGCCCAAACACCTCTCATAGCACAGTTCATGACTGTTATTTTTGACAGGAGCTAAAATCATAAATAGGGAGCTCTGGCAGTCTAGTGGTAAGGAGCTGCATCCCCAACACAAAGGCACACAGTTTGAGTCCATTAAGTGCTCCAAGAAAAAAGATGAGCAATCTCCTCCCATTCAATTTCCTGCCTCTGAGAACCCACTAGAGAGTCAGCCACATGTTGATTTCAACTTGAGAGCACACAACAACAAAAATCATCATGTTCATACCTCCAATGTATTTTCATTTTTTGGGCTTGGGTTGTTTTGGGGGGGGGTTAATCTTTCACATTGTGTTTCTTATACTCATTCCCATATATTGTGTCTTATAAAAGTAATCACTATTCATCTATACCCACCATGACCCTGTTTTTTCAGATCCCTACTGGATCTTTCCTAATTCCTTCACCCCTTCCCTCCACCAACTAAACTCTGTGACCTTGTGATTTCCACCCCCTACTCTTCCTCAGCCTCTGTGTCCCTCACCTTTGCTCTTTGAATATCTACACACATCTTACTAGTTACCTTTCTGGTTCTAAAAAAATGGCATTATTCAGTGTTTGTCCTTATGGACCTGAGTTATTTCACTTAGCATAATGTTCTCCAGCCTTTCCGTTATATAATATTTTATTATTATTAATGAAAATTTACAGACACTTTGGATTTCCATTCATTCATTCATTGTTGCACATTTTTCCCTGCCCCCCCCCCCCCCACCCCCCGCCCCAATTTGCTCTTCTTTTTGTAAAATTCTTTCATTGTTTTACAATCCCTCCCCTCAGGTCCACTCCACTATGCAGTCTTCGTTCTGGACTCCTGTCATGACAATAATACCTAATCATATATCCCTTTTAAACAGTTTTCTCCCTCATGTTTCAATGCAGAATACATAATTTATCCCATCTTTCTCAGTCTCCCTCCAACTCCGATGTCAGTCCCGTTTTACAACAGTGGCACTATGCAGTATTTGTTCTTTTGTGACTGAGGTATTTCACTCAGCATAATGTCCTCCAGGGTCACTCATTTTGTATATTTCATGAGTTCCTTGTTTTTCAATGCAGCATAATATTCCATTGTGTGAATATACTACAGCTTCTCTATTCATTTGTTTGCTGATGGGCAATTAGGTTGTTTCCAACTCTTTGCTATTGTGAACAAAGTCATGATAAACATGCGTGTGCATATTGGGCAGTGTTATCTAGTATTTGTCAAAAATTGTTGCTCGACAATATTTTTTATCTTTAATTTTTATGTTATTTTATTACCTTTTTTTAAAAAGTATTCTTTTAAAAAAAAACAAACAGGGAAAGTTTACAGAGCAGATATGTTCTCCATTCAACCATCCACACATACACTTCTTTTGGGTAAAAGTTTACAAAGAAACTTTTTCCATTCAACAATTTACACACTTTTTAAAAGCATGACTTTAACTGAAATCCCCACAGTGTTATCATCACTCATGGACCTCCTTCCTGTTTCCCATTTCTGTTGCTCTTCTTTTCCAGCCCTCCCTGCCTTCTGAATTTTGGTATCTATCCTTGGACAAATGTTGCCCTTTTGCTCTCCAATGATTGTACTAAGGCGTGTTGCCTCCCTAGTGCTGTGTGCCCTTCTCCACTTTATGCAGTTCAAAGTGGAGTCACAGATGTGAGTTCAGTTCTAAACAACATTTTCAAGTTACAAAATAAAACTAAAAACTAGATGACCATTTGAGCACTGACTTATCTAATGATGATACTTCTCAGCAATCTGTTCACACATTTTATCCAATCAGCTTCTTATTATGGGATATCCATGTAAATGGTTTGGGGAAATGGTCCCATCCATCACTCCATAAGCACATTCATTTGCATTGTGCCCTATAACTCCTCTCATGAAGAGGAAGGGTTTATTTTTTCATTCTTTGAACCTAAGATGGCCTCATGACTTCCTTTGAGGAATAGAATGCAAAGGATTTGACACTGTCAGATCTAAGGGTAGGCCTTGGGAGATTTTTTACGATTCTGGATGCTTTCATAAAACCTTCCCAAGAGCCTTAAGAACTAGTTTGCCCTGATCCAAAATTCACTGCCACTAGTTACTTCAAATTCATGACCCTCCAATGGGTCTGTTAAATCAACTTTTTTGGAAAGGGAACAAATATGTATCTCTTCCATTCAGTTGATCAGGTAGCTATTTTCCAAATTTCTTGGTTCAGACTAGTGAGCACTACCAAGGCTGTATGTGTTTGCTGAAACACCTCAACTGATATTCCCTCAATTAATTCCTAGGGCTGCTCTGTGGGAGAAAGATGGGCAATCTCCTCCCATGCAATTAATTTATAGACTGAAAGCCTGCTGGAGGGTCAGCTACGAGTTTTGATTCAGTGACACATACCAACACACACACACTGGTTGGTTGAAGCAAGTCACTAATTCC